TTATTCAATCATTTTAAAGGCCTATTGAACTTAGCAACACCCACGTTAAAAAAAACCGTTAGGCTCGATTACCAGCCGTTTTCGATGAGCCTGCATTGATTGCCCCACACCACGGCGTTCTTTGGGAGAAGGATTACAACCGGACTTCCAGAATGGCTGGAAAATAAGCCTACATGCACCATAGTTGATAGAGGGAAATGGTTTTGAAGTCCGGCAAACATCAAAGGAGCAAACAAAGATTTGTGTTGGAACGTCCACGACCGTGCGAAATCTTTTGTTTTGCGCCCATGCACTATGCGTGACTTACTAACCAAAACACGTGGTTGGTGTTATTTGCTGTGCCACGTACGTGATCAAACATCACGATCAAACATATTTGTCGCATGAAAATTGTCACATAAAAATTGCTCGTGTAGACCAGGCTTAACACTGTGAAATGATAATACGAACGGTCAAGAGAAAATAAGGATATGTCTTAGAGTTTAATCAATCATTTTAAAGGCCTATTGAAATCAATAGGGAACTTGGTTTTAAGGTCATTCCTCACATTTGCTTCGTGCATCCTTACTGCGCATAATTTATGGCGTCATTAGCGCGCTCGTGCACGCGCATATTGTAAACATAACGGATTTGCCTTGATATTGAGCTCAGTCAGTTGAAAAATGGCTGTAGCTCACCAACGAGCACGGGCACCCCAATTTTTTCCAGTCATTGTAATCAACTAATCATAAGCTTTGCGTGAGAAAAGACTGACCTAATTTCCATTGCTGAAAATTGAATAAATAAGAAAAATAACAGATACACTGTGGTCTTTTCTATTTTGCAGGTTAGTAACCACGTCAAGAAATTTGGTTCAAATTTTTAATCAGGGATTTAGCTTTCTGTCTGAATCAAACTTAAAATGTTTGTGTCCGACACAATGTATTGACTATAGTTTAATGCGTGTTCTTATGAGTCTGGGTTCACAAAGATTTTAAAATTACTGGGAATGCGTTCTTATAATAAGCATTAAATAATGACAAAATGGGGCATTTTCAATGCCTCACTGCTCCTTAATGAGCAAGGGCACCCCCTTTTTTATTTCAAAATTGAAGTTATCATATGACAGATATTCAGTGGACAAAGTTTGAAAAAAAATCTATTGTCACTTTTATTTCAAAGGAATTACCTTAAGGCAACCACGACGACGACGGCAACGAGAACGTCACCAAACAAAAGATTTATCGAACAGAACGATGGTTGTGCACGTTGGTTATAAGTCTTTGTACATTTCTTTGCTGTCCTCTGCAAAACAACAACGTGAAATGACTAAGTTCTACATAGTCTGTGGAACCATAGACGGAACGCGAACGACGACGGCTAATTTTTCGTATTTCTATTTGGAATTGAACGCTGCCATTACATTTTTAGCCTGAGCACGTTTTTAGAGCCATTGGCTTACTGAACAGATCTAGACAGTTGCGAATTTAATTGTGCTGGTAAAATATAATTTCATGTTTTACTAGGCGTCGTCCTCGGCGTCGCCGTCGTCGTTGCTTGAGCTCCCTATTAATATTGCCTAAACACGAAACAGAAATAATGGCAATAAAAACGGTCGAGAGAAAATGTGGAAATAAGAACCAGTTATTCAATCATCTTAAGGGTTTATTAAATTCATTACCTGCATGTAAACACGATGCCGGGACTAGCAACCCTACAAACATCGTGGAGTATCCGTCTATACACCTACAATCCTGGCCAAACGTCCTTGGGACATTTAACAAAATGCCAACTGATGACGCCAACTGATGACGCCAACTGATGACGCCAACTGATGACGCCAACTGATAACTTGCCGAACCCTCCTTCCCCAAAACAATGTTGGAATAGAGGATTTACTTTGGATGAATCAACATCAACATTGTGTTGGGGGCGGGGAGGGGAGGTGGACAGAAAGACCATATGTTGGGAAAAGTGCAAAGTGTCCCGGACCTTGATTGTAGTTACTTCGTAGTAAATCTCTGCTGCGGAAATGTGGGCCTGTTTGGATTTGAGTGCCACTTAAGTTTAGCACCTCAACGGTCCATAAGTCCTTGTGGTATGTATTTTACGAGATAACCATTGGCGAATTATTTGGTCATTCCACTCTTAGTTTCACGAAGTCCCTCGAGTCTCAAAACTGACTTCGCTCATTTCCTCAAAGTTTGCTTCCACAAGCAAGAAGTCAGCGAAGCAATGAGAATTTACTGTATGGCTTGGGTACGCGGGGAGGGGGGACCCAATGTGACAGAGGGTGTCGTTTAGCACAAAGTTTTCTTAATTAATGATTGCGGACTTTGAAATCATTTGGGGTGTTCAAGACAACGACACCTGCAATGATTTTGCCGAGGAAAGTATCTTAAATGGTTGCAATCAAAAGAATGAAACAACATTGTCGTACTCTGTTGATGGTTTTGATAAACAAGGACATCAGGGTTTTATACGGACCAGTTCTGCTATAACGTACCTCCTGGGCTAGCCATTACATCGCGTCCTAATTATGTTCAGTACTCAGCCAGTGAAATCATTGTAGTCGAGATCGCTTGTACGGTTGATGATTTAGAACTTTTCCATTATTTTAAACCTCCTGTATGTAACAACTTGATCTGACATATGCCTGATCATACTACTGGCGAAAACTGGAATCGAGGCGTCACATAACCCTTATTTTAAAATTACGATAAATGTTGTTCTCGTGAGTCTGCAAGTGTAATCGCCTTTCATCGTTCACAGTCTTTCGATCTCATCAACAACTGGCGCAAGGCAATGTAAGGTACATTATTAGCAAACGTGTGATTATTTTTGCTCTTCAGTTTGCTTTGAATCTTTGTCAAAGATTTGATCAATGCTCAAAGCCGGGGATTCAGGGATTCTTAAATACCTACATCTCTTCACGTCTTCATAAAATGTCATTTCCTCCGAGGTTCTCTCTTGGCTGCCAAGTATGGGAAATATACTAGGCAATGACTTCCACCTGTGTGCTACAGGCCTCGGCGGAGTCGATAACTCGTCGGAAGGTTCTTCGGTAGGTTCGTCGATGGGTGGCGAATCGCCGAGCTCTTCGACTGCGTTTGTGTTAGTTTTTTTGCTGTACCTTTTCAGACTCTCATTGAATTTCTTCACCTTTTCGTTAAGAGACTCTGCGCTTTCTTCGACGCGAATGGAAGGCACAACTCCAGCCGAAAATCGTCTTCCCGTATTGGCTTGCCTTAGAGCATTAGCTTCTTCGTACAAGAAGGTCTGAGCAATTGTAGATCGCCTGTTTAGAAGTCTTGGACTGGCGGCGCCAGGACTTCGACACATTGGAGAAGGAGTCAGACCCACGTTTATCCTGATGTTCTGTGATGACTTCGATCTTCGTAAACCAAGCACATCGGTATCGACCATCATCTGGCTTTTACACTGAAGTCTCGCTGCTACCACGTCTGTAACCAAAACGTCGCTTTTTCGACGTTGTACCAGAGGGCTTCGTGTTGGAGAGATAGTTGGTGAAGATAGAGGTGTAAGAGAAATGCCTCCATTCTTCCTGAGGCTCGGCAAGCTAAGTTTGTTTTTCTCTGTCTCCAACCGAGCCATTTCTTTGTGTTTCTGTAGTTCGAGATTTGCAAGCTTCGTGTTAAGCTGAAAATCCTCTTTGCCGTTTGCGACCACATTATTTATAAAAAGACGATCCTTTTTACCTCCAATTCCACCTTTTTTCGCCATTCAGTTGTTCACTTCAAACTGTTGAACGACAAAAGCCTTTGACCTCAAATGATTGTTCTAGCGAGAAAGGAATGCTATTAAATTTACGTCTGCTGGTCAAAGTAGACGGAATCCTAGTTTTAATCAAACACTGAACATTAAATATTTGCTTTTAGTAATTGTTAACGCGGAAAAACTGTCATTTGATGACAGGTTAAGCGCGACTTTGTTTGATCTTCGAATCCGTAATTTTACTCTTCAATTTGCTTGGATTAGTATACAAGAGATTGAAACGATTTTGCGTATTCAAAACCTCGCTAATCTTAAAGAATATTTTCCGATTATTTCAAGAGGGATGGCATGGAATACGGAGTCTGTGCCCTGTTAGCAAACATCATAATATATCCAAAGGAATACTGATAAAATGCCCACAGCAAAGAAAATGAATATTGTTGAAATCTGATGAAGGTTTACAAACTAATGTACACTGATCATATTTGTATCTTCTCATGAATATTTTCATGAGAGCCGACAAGAGTTTTCTCTCAATCGTTGTCAAGCTGATGATGTAAACATTTACGCACTCTCGGCTTATTTCACGGTGCACTGATTAATAACCATACAGGCGTGTATATACAAGTTGTTTATCATCATCACGTGTTCGACGTGGATTCTTTTAATTAGTTAAAACCGAACTTACTTTAGCGTTACTTCGTTGATTTTCTTAAATCATAAATCGACTGGATGATCACAAACTGGACGTTTGTGATTGTTCAAAACTCCGCAATGGTGGAAAAAGTGACAACAATCATGGCTTGTTACAACCTTATTGTAGAAACATTCCTCACACAATCACATTTAAAATCGTTTATTTTTCTATAATTCTTGACAATTGTGACAATTGATAATTGTGGATGGGAAGATCCCAAATAATTACTTAACCAAACCTTGTGTACCATGTGCAATTCAAATGAACCAAGGGTTTACTTTATCTATTCTACGGTTCCCGGGCTCAAATTGAACCAGAACTAAAGGGCACAATCGATGAGATTCAATGGAAGTGTGAATTGGTCGAAGCTACATGAGAAGACATAAAGAGAACTATTTTCGAGCCCGGAATTTTCCAGCGGCAGTAGCGCAGTTCAGTTATATTATCACGAAAGTTAGGTAGGTTTGCCGCTTCGCCATTGTTAGGTATGAACGAAATAATAATAATAATAATAATAATAATAATAATAATAATAATAATTTTTTTGATTATAATAATAATGTTTATTAGTGGCTTATAAAAAAAATTACAACTGTAAAAATTCTTAGGACAATATATATGTCAGGGAAATACTAACTTACAAACGAATTACAAATTACACTCATTCTTTACAACCCTTATAAATTTGCCTATTGTCATTTGTCGAAAAAATTTAAATAAGAACAGTAAAAAATACTCTACACATTTAAATGGCAAAAACTCTACTTTACAAATACACTGTAGCTATATGCAGGTCCACTTCTTGGCTCAGTAATAATAATAATAATAATAATAATGATGATGATGATGATGATGATGATGATGATGAGGATATTTCACTAGGGAACCCAGCTCGCCATAGCGGTTTTCAGTGGGGCCCTCAAAATTGTGTTGGTTTTCGGATTCTCCTGATAATTCTCTACTGACGCTGGTTGTGCGCTAAAAAAAATTTTGAATTAAACATCTGCAATCAAACTCTACGCATAATTTTTCCTTCGTCTTTATTGTAGGAATTTAACTCCTTAATTGCCTGGTCCATTCAGCTCAATGGCTGGTGTCCAAAGTAGTCATACATCAATGAATGGAAAAATATAACTTTTTTGTAGAAAAGCGTAACATTATAACAAGAAAAATGCATTAAAACGATGCAGTTTAAATACTGTGGATGAAACTTCCTCGAATAATTGAATCTTATTGTTCAAATAGTTTTTAAAAAATTTGAAAATTTTGCGGTGAAACATCTTACTTTAAAAATACTGTTAACGTTTTCCTGATTCGCATTGGACTATTGATAATAACTTTATATCTTGAAGAAAAGTTCAAAGACGGGGCCTTAGACACGACAAATAAAAAAAACAGTTTGCATAGACGGGTGGAGAGCTGACTTCCTCGCTTAATAAGTCGCATTGTGCCAAACAAATGCTGTGCCCTAAAAGAAAACAACAAGTTCAGATAGTCGATTCCCTCCGTCGGTATTCAAACTCTTCTGGAAATTTGTCATCACAAGTTGTAGAATCAGGGACAAAATCCAGATCGATTTCGTCTTCAAATCGAACAGTACGGACGCTTAAATTAGAGTCACGTGATGTGACTGGAGGTCGCTCGTGGCATCCGTCTAGGTTCCAATCTTCTTGTGGATTACGGTCGAAACTAACAGTGGATATTTTTCTGTTTCTCTTCTCCGTGTTTTTGTCATCGTAAGCCCTGTTTTCTTTCGCGTCCACCTGATTGCTGCTGGTGGTAGAGAGAGAACTAAGCACTGATGTGTTGGATCTTGTACTGATCTTCCTGTCATTGTGTTCATCTTCATCGTCAGCAAGCGTCCCGAGATTCACGGTTGAGCTGCGATCGACGTTCTTCTGAGGGCGAAACACAATCACGTAGACTTTAGGTACAAACATACAAGCGATGGTCACTGTGGCGGCGACGATCAAGAAAGAGCTTACCAGAATATCTTTATAGTAAGTTTGCGTCGCGTAGTAAGACAAGAAGAACATCAACACGTCTGTCGAGATTGTCATCATGTTGAAAGCTATGAAACGAGCTTCATTGTAGTTGCCGGGCACCTTTCTCGTGAGAAAAGCTTGGTACGTGCAAACTAACACCAGACCACTGTTAAAACACCACCACAGAGCCATGTTGTAGTTGGCGTAGGATGCAAGTTTGCATTGTACGAAGGCTTCGTTTCTCATTTCAGAGTACACAACTTCTTTGAGCCCTCCATCCGAGGTAGTGAATACAATGATTGTACAGATAGCTGTTTCTATGACAACGAAGCCGCTGATAAAGACTACCATCCATTTGTCGCTTAAACATGGCGGGGTTCCTGCAAATGGTAGTCAAGTTAAGTCAAACTTTATTTAAGCTGGTGACCCCATCAACCATCGGCCAATATCAACAGGAGCACTGCGTAAGATATGACTACTAAATAAAAACTTGTACAAGAACTTTAAACGAGGATAAAAGGGAAACTTAAAAAGTTTTAAACATTTCCATATAGGGTCGCAAGACGCAGCTAATGTTGGCCTTAGGTAAAATGGAGGAATTTGTCATCATGTTTTCAATTTCTACTTTAATTTCTGTTTAACTGATTAACTGTTTATCAGTTCATTGGTAGTAAACTGAACATGAGGAGACTTCAGTGAAGTTACATAACGTACCTTTTCTCATAGCTCTTTTACTGAATATCCGGTGTATCCGGTTTGTCTTGATCAACAATGTTCCCACCACGATACAGAAACCAATACTAAAGGAAAAAAGCACAATCTGGCACAGAGTCTCTGTTCTCTCGAACAAAATCAGAACCGCCGTCAAGTAACCAAGGAATATTCCGAACAGCATGATGTAGCTCAGCACCTTGCTTGACGCACGCACTATGTGGGTGTTGCCATGACGACAGTAAACCACCACGATGGAAAAGACACCCAGAACTCCTAGCATTGCAACCACGCCAACCGATATGCCGGCCGGGTCACTAAGCTTGACCGCGGTGGGTATTATGGGTAAACATGCGGTGTGGTTCTCGTTTGTCCAATAACGAGCTGGGCAGCGACGGCAAGAGCCATTTACTGGATTGTAAGAAATTTCATTGGTACCGCATGAAACGCATGTCCAACAGCAGCTCTGCAGGGGTAGAGTATGATAAAAAGAAAACGTCATGAGAATTACCTATTTGCGAGTTCCATGCACACTGCCGTTAGCCCGTTCCAGGCGCTTGCATTTTTTTTGTGTGTGCGAACTTAATCTGTGATTCCGTTACTGTTAACGTTTGTTTTTTCTCACTCATGCGAAAAATTGAACTGGACAGATATTTCTTCTGTGATAAAATCTCCCTTGCGCCAAAAAACAAAGATGTTTTCTGAATTTAAAGTGCACTTTAAATTCTAACTGAAGACAAGTTATGTCATTTATATATAACACGCTTCACGTTAATCTCTCTTACTATATTTTAGAGTAATTATGCTGAGCTCAACTTCACAGGCGTAGTAGTCAGTGAGAACACCACAACGACCCAATACAAAGGAAAAAGGAGTAATGACAAAGACAGTATAGTTTAGAGTGAGATGAAGAAGGGAGGGGAAGGGAATGCAAGAAACTGCCTATCCACTATATTTGCAAAGCGGGCCAAGCTTTTTTCATTGCTTATAATTTTTAGTTATTTTAGTGTGAATCGTATCGATAACAAAATTCTCGATGGTGCTTGGTTCTCCGCACGCCTAATTGTCACGTAATCGGCGCGCGATCACGTGGGTATCCAATTACAGGTATCCAATTTTAACTTTTTGTGATTGGATAGCTGTAATTGGATACCCAAGGGATTCGCACACCAATTACGCGCGCTTTAATGGCTTCCTTTGCAGCGTTTCCTACAGTTTTCAAAACTAATGAAAAGCGCCACAGACATTTTCGCTCTAAAGAAGTTCTCAAAAGACATTTTTAATTCCGAAATTTGTTATAGATACCATTAATTAGTAATTGGACCTCGTGTCGTACATTTCAGAGAGTAATCGTGCTCGTAATTTTAAATCAGCCTCGCGCTTCGCGCTCAACCAATTTTGAAATTACTCGCGCAATGTCTCCCTGAATTGTTCTCCACTCGGCCCAATTACTATTACTAATTGGCCAAATCTGACCCAGTCCATCCCGGACAGAACAATAGAAGAAGCTAAATTAAATTAAAAAACACGCAAATAAAAGCCAGACCTGGTGACGTTCATCTGATAGCATCAAATGTCCGGGAGGACACTGCTGACCGCAAAACGAGGTTGGCTCAACAGAGCTGTCGAACACTTTCTGCCAGAACATTCGCAATTTCGCCAAATTTAAATCAAGGAATGACACATTTGCAGGCAGGTCAAGCACGTTTGACGTGTTGGAAATCCAGCTCCCGATTGGCTCCCATTGCTCAGTCTCTTTATTGACCACCGTGATGTCATAAGCACCCAGGCCGTTTCCGTTGGAATCAAAAGAAACTGGATCACGTGATACACCTGTGAACTTCACGCTTTGAATGCTTTTGAGAAATCCATCATCCCTACGAAGGACCAAGATTAAGTTAAAAAGGTACGAAATACATTTAACAAGTTGATTTGTCGTCATGTCTTGTTTTTCCCGGCCTTCGTTTGTTTCTTTGTTTTTTTATCATCATCATCATCATCATCATCATCATCATCATCATTATTATTATTATTATTATTGTTGTTGTTGTTGTTGTTTATATCTGTTCTTGCTTGCTTGTTTGTTTTTAAAGACGGGAGTTACGCTCGAATATCGGCAAAAACGTGCTTCCGGTTGGAATCATCCCGTTTAAGAAACTTTTGGTTGATTTCGGGTTTTCCAGAAAGTGTGTTGTTAAGTTACGCGGCGTTTGCTATTGAAGTCAAAAAGTGACCAAACAAATTTTGAAGTACTCGTACTATTTCTGAGCTGATTGAATAATAAAAGTCGGCTAAGCTTGTCAGTTGATTCAACGGGCATTTGCCAAAACGTCTTGTTAGCCCTGACGAGGCCAATTTCGACAGCTTAAAATTATTATTTGGCCTCAAGGCTTAGGTAAATATATAGAACAATGAAAATTAATTATTTAACTCTCAACTTCCACGTGATTTCTTTTGCTTTATTTCCCTCTGCCTTGGAACCAAGTGAGCATCAGTTTTAAATATCAAGATTGGCCTATGACAGTTTACGCAACTTACGGTCTTCAACATGACTTTTTTTCTCCTTAACATTTTAAAGTTGCAAACTGGAAAGATTTTGTAGTGAGCCATTCAAGTTACGAGCAGAGCTTATATGGTATTCCTTAATAAGCAGGTACGATTTATATTGCCATGCAGCCAAATGGTATGAATCAGTAAAGCAAATCATCAGCTAGTACACATTATCTTGATCTATCACCAAATTCTCAGGATTAATTTTAAAACAAATGTACTGTTTTTGAAATGAAGAATTAACATCTTGATCAAACTGAGATTGAAATAAAGAAAAGTCTAACCTGCTACATTGCAGAATTCAAGATCCTTAATTGCTTTCAGTTTTTTTGATTGAAGGGCAAGAGGCTAGGAAAAGTAACATAGCTGCTATTTTGATCAGTCAGAAATAAATAAACCAGCTGCGGTAAGAGATAATATTCATTGGTCTCTATCTATCGTTACAGCTGCATAAAAGCTGAAGACAAACATTGGCAGTCTTTTAAATGACTATAACAATGAAATCGTCAAGGTGCCAGTTAACAATTCATTTGTTTTTATTTTTTTCTTCATTTTTATGCCTCGTGTTGTACAACAATGCACTTTAAGGCTTTCACTTTGTAAGTTTGTAAAGAAACTATATTTCTCCAATTATTGGAAATATCTCGCATGGCGATAAGCGATATGTTTATGAAATCTAAAATCTGCACATACAGCAAAGAAAGCTCAAAACTCAACATGATACAGCTCTGAATTATACCTTTTTTAAAAGGCTTTGACTAGGACAACTTTGTTGCGACTTTCGAAAGCATTTCAGCTTAGAAAAACTTTAGGGATGTTTCTTTCCATATACCAAACTAAAATGAAACTAAAATGTTCGCGAAGAAAGCCATATTCCAATATTTATCAGCCGTAATTATACTGTGAGCATTTTTCTAATTAATGGCGTAGGCAATTATAAGATGGGCGTGAAAACGTCCTTCAAGAGCTATTGTGTACCCAAGGACAAGTAAATCCAACCAAAAATGTTTTTTACACATTTCTATTTACTTTGATGGCAAAGTAGGTCTTTTCACATTGTAAAACAGTACATTAGTTAACAGTCATGTAATCAGTGTCATCAGGTTTTAAAAACCATCGTAGAATATTATTTTTATGCGGTGCTTTCGAGTTGTTATGATCTGGAAAACTACACATCAATACCTAAAGATTTATATTTCAATTCGTCTGAGTTAAATAATAGTTGGAACTGGTTCCAGCGCGTTTTCAATGACATGTATTGAATTTAAATGAGGGCAGCTTGCCACGTACATGATATGCTTCCGTTCAAATCCTGTTGACTTCGGTCCAAAAGGCTTTTTGAATAGCTGTGAATAAGTAAAAACGCTGAAAATATCCTATAAATGTTTTTCGTTGATAAAGAACTGTATCATAGCCACGAACTTTACGATGCTGGCAAATGCAACGAAAAGTCGTGTGTTGATTTAATTTATACCCGATATTGTACTGACCACCGTATATTAAAAGTGACATTGTCTCTTTGTTCACGTTTTATCGGTGAAAGTACCAACTTACTAATTTGGTACAAGTAATATTTTCCTTAAGAAAAAGATTCATTTTAATGGAATAACGCTCAATAGTTCTTTCGGTTGAGTTTAATAAAAAAGATCTCCTTTTGAAAGCCAGTAACTCGCAATGGAGTTTCTTACCAAGGATTATAATGAAATAAGGTTTATAAAAATAAACCCAAGTTCAAAGTTGTAAATTAGCAGTTCCATATTGTTAATGCATTTTACAAATTAAATCAACCAAAACAAAAAATTTGCAATTCTAAAGATTTAGGGAATGACATTGTGGGGTATTACAAAAAATAAATGGCACTTTTTAACTTTCGAAAAAACAAAGGTAATTTTGCGTGGGATGAATTTCGTTAGAAAGAAAATATCTTGGCATAGCCCTGATTGCTTCTAAAAGGCGGAGTTTGACCGCATATTTCACAAATGAAAAGCTTATCTGATATCCAAGTAAAACAACCGTGAAAGTAATTTTTTAAGCATTTTGCACAGTGGTATGATCGCGCTAAAAGAAACTTGTATCAGGGAATCTTAAGCAGATCTAAGTAGTGAAGCCCGAAAACCTAGTAGTAAAGTTGTTTATTACGTTTTTTAGTACCAAGTTTACCATTCTCGTCTTATGTTTTTCCATCGACGACTGCATTTGCTGAAACATAGTTCAAATACACTTACATTTCTTACCTGTTTAAATTTGAAAATTCATCTGGTGAAAATTGGCAGCCTTTGCCTTGAGTGCAGTTCAGAAGGTCGTGCAAGCCGTAAGCGGCGGCGTAAACTGCATCGATAACGTATGGGACATACGCCGACAGTTGTCCGGGATTTTTCGTATGATGGTGTCCGCGGTATTCATCCAGCCATGGGCAGCCACTAGCACTTCCGTTGAAGCGTTCAAAATATTTAACGAACTCTTCAGCGGAACCTTTGTGCGGCGTGACACCGACAATCCGTCGAAGCATTTCTCGGGAGCTGTGGAACCTGTTTGTGGGCCCGGTAAAGTGATCAGTAGCAATAAACACATAATCCTTCATTCCGAGATCGTCGAAATACTTCAAGATGAGCTCCGTGTCCTCGATCGTCGTAAAAAGCAGCACCGCTTTCGCTTTCGCGTTTTGCTTCGCTCTCATATCGGAGAGGAAACCTTCAATTTCTCGGGAATTCGTGTGTTGTGTAAAAGTCCTTTTCACTGCCACACAAATTTTCGTTCCCGCCGAGGCTGAAAGAACGTGCTCGAATGTTTCAATCGCCGATCGACCGTAGTCTGTGTCGGAATACAAAACGTGTACGAAATTCCATTTTAAGGCGCGCAAAAAATCGATAACTGCCCTGGCCATGAGAGTATCGGAGGAAACTGTTCGTAGGAAATATTTGAAACGAATTCGATTACTGAGCAATCTGCTTGTGGACGCGTAACTTACAACGGGAACATAAAACAATCCCGCGAAATTTGCTACTGCCATGGCCACATCGCTTGTTCCCAAGCCAACAATAGCTACCGTTATGGGATCGTGTTCTAAGCTTCGTTTCGGTCGTGTCCTTTCACACATAAGGCTCTCCATGTTTTTCTTAACAAAACTGAAATTCAAGCATTTCCGAATCGCAAAGTCAACACTGCTACATGTGTCTTTGATGTCTGCGCCAATGGTGATTCCAGGAAGGATTTTCAAATCGTTGTTGATCTGCTCCAGAGCGTAAAGCATGGCCAAGGTTTCCTCGAATCCGCGAATGTTTAATTTTCCGCGGCATTCCTTGGACGTGCTGTTGTTTTGCGGTGCGTAATGTATCGGAAACAAACCGGCAAAAAAAAGGGTGCCGTTCATGTAAATATCGCGATGTTTAGCGGAGGTGAAGTTTGTAGGGTGATACCCAGGATGACGACAACACGTCGAAAGTGGAACTGAGCAAGCCAGTTGAATAAGCAAGTACATGAGGTCTGAAAAACCGCACAAGTGTCTCATCTTAAATATGGACCGTAAAAACAGTCAAATCTTGTCAAGCCTTGCAGTTCGATGCTCAGCCGAATGAAGTTAAACTAAAGTCTCTGGTGTACTCAGTATGCAGGTGCTAACACAAGAAGCAATATTATCTCAAAGAAATTAACAGCAACAAGCTTTTTAAAGACCCACTCTCTTATTGGCCGAGGATGTGTCAAGTTATACGGCATAAATGTCCGGTTTTGAAGGCGTAGATAAAATTCCTGTCTAAGCTTTGAAAACTCGACGAGATGCAATTACGTTTTTGGTCCTGAAAGTGACACCCAACCGCGCGTACACCTGACACAGATTCAAATGGAAATTATGAAGATTCCAATTTCAAAATTTGAATTCTCGAAATGTCAAGTGATACGTTTTCGACATCTAGTTGCGATGAACGCACTATTCAATTAACATAATGCACTTACAATAAAAGCAAACATGTTCTCATAGTTAAAACCACTTCTTGCTTTCTGATGCTTGGAAAAATGGTTATCAAATTTTTACTTCGCCGTTTAAATTGCTGTTTTCATTGGTACATGTTGTTCTTTCCTTTCTAAGAAAAGCAAATAATTGAACATGTTTATTTGGACATGCTAATGTTATGCTATAGAACAACTGTACAAAAGCGAAATATCACAGCACAGCTGTTCCCTGACAAATGTGTTAAATTAAACTTAACATCCACGAAAAGATAGCTCAAATGTCAATCACTTAATTGACTGGTTATAAATTAAAATTATTACAATTTTTCCCTCTTCCCATCCAGAAGTCTCCCTGAAAAAAGTTATTTATTTTCAAATCCTGGTTTCTTTCCGGTTCTTTCTTTGCATGATGCAAAATTCCAGATTTTCAACATTTTTTGTTTAACTTTGTAAAGTGAAACCAGAAGTATACATATATATATTTTTTCGAAGGAGTAATAAAAAAGTGTGGGCATATTTTTGATATGACGTGTAATGTTATTGCTGCAGCATTGGCTTGTGTACTGCATTTTATCCAACTTTCAAATTTGATTGAATCGCGCTAAATCATTTCCTTAAAAAATCCTTTGGAGATCGAAAAGAACTACTCATCGCCTTGCAAAAGCCAGATCTTCAGACAATTATTTTGTCTAGCACATAGTTAAATAACGCGTTTATTTTGACCCATTTTTAGTCTCATTAAAAGTAGGTCGGATAAATTTAATTAGCTTTTGTAAATAAATCGACAAGAGTTGCTCAAATTGCTGTCAACATATGTTCTGATGTGACGCGAAGCTTCGAGATTTGTCTTAAATTTTGAGCTCCAAAAGCGGCATTTTGACGGAATTCGATTGTTATCGATTTTCTGGTAAATAAATCGATACCACACTAAAGATAAAATCAAGGTCCTTGAGCGTGTTCAAAGACGTGCCACCAAATTTATCTTGAAATGTAATTTAACTTATCCAGAACGTTTAGCTAAATTAGGTCTTTTGCCTCTCGAGTTTGGAAGGGAGGTTTCAGATTTATGTTTCTTTTGTAAATGTCTTAGAGGGTACATTGATTTTGACGTCCTATCGTATGTTACCTTCAAATCATATATCAACCCTAAAAGACTTCTTTTGAAACAGTCAAGGAGTTTTAAGTTGCATATTTCATGCAAATCTAGTGATGGCGTTTCACGTCAGCAAGACAAGTATACTGAGCACATTGGACTACATTGAGGACGGCAGGGCTGACATTTACAAATGGGGTGAAACAAGACGGTCACAACGTAAAGGAATTAGAGGAAAACTTTACCAGTTCAAGAAAATGTTCATCGACAAAACTGTAAGCAGACATCTTTATTTGTTTATAGTATGAAGTGTAATAAAAGGTGTTCAATTAATTAGTGTCACCCGGCATAATTTGTGTCTGGATACATTTTTCATCAAACTTATAAAAGCTTGTTTTAATTTGCAGATTTTACGAAGCTTTGTACATAATCTGACCTTAATAGTTTTTCTACAAATGGGTTTGGCAGGTGAGGTTCAATCTTAGTGCCAATGTGCTCTTTTATTTTTGTTCCTCAAACGTTACATGTATGTTAGAGACTTCTGGAAGCTTGCCAGTTTTATACATGAGGTGCCCAGACCCCCTGGCCCAGTCAAGGAAATACAACATTCCCTTGCAGTGCCAAATTGTTGATGATGTACACATTTAAATGTGGTAAACATGGCTGCAAATGACAGTCGGTCATCGGACATTGGCTGATCAAAATTTACTCATGTCTGACGAAATCCCAACTGTGGTCGGACATGGTGTCCGGACAATTTTTTTTTATCATAAATCATTTTACGGGAAGGATGAATAAAATCTACCATGAGTAAATCTTACCTTTTTGGTGATGTCTGACCACAATTTGATTTTTCTGACCAAGATGGTGTCTTAGTAGGACATAAATTATGTCCTTTCAAGAGAAAAATACTATTTGCAGCTCTGGTAAATGTGAAGTCTGTATTTGCACCAAAACTCATTCCGTGTTCTGTAGCATGTGGCACATGTAGGGCTGCTACAACTCCCCCTGAAGAGGAGAAATTCATCACAAGTCACCTCCAAATATTTGGTCAAATTGCCCTTGTTAATTAATTGAATTTGTTCTTTCTTTTACATTATCAGCACTTGGGACATTCATGTGCCAGAAACTAAGTGAGTATACTATCACAATGTTACGGCAACAAGCTAGGAAAATATCCACGGTACAATAATGTTGTTCCAGTAAATATCCATATTCCTAGCAGTCTTGTCAAATTATTTTGTGTAACAGTAAGTTTATATCCATCGCATTTATACAATTGTTTGAAGAGCTCTGAGTGTAATACACCAGGCAAGCTAGAAACCCCTGCAGTCCTCTGAAGACCTCCATTATAACACACTTACCACATGCCCACTGTAATACCTCACTGCATACACACCTTTTGTTTTCAATTTACAGGATTGGATTTTGATGTACATATGAGTATCTTTGTTTCACCAATTGTATTTCCTTTGGCCTTTTCCATTAATGGTGAGTTACAGGAAATGTTTTTCATTATTCTGTTCAATGTATTTGTGAGGTCCTATAGTACTTCACAGGCCTTCTGATATTACGCGATGGTGCAAGTTTGCACAATTGACCTCAAATTGCATCTGATTGGACAATTGAAGTGGTATTCTTGTTATGAAACCTATTAAAATATGCTTACAAAAGCTCAGGAAAAAATCACATAATTTCTCTAATTTATTGCATAATAGCTCTTCTTATCAAGTTATCTGCCCTGAAAATTTTGCATGATTTCTGTTTTCTTATAATTGCACCCTATCAGAAGGCCTGACTTCATGCCCATATGTTCTACATGTATCTAGATAGATCCCACAATTTACAAGTTTTCTGTGCAGGAACATGTTAGAGGCAAATTATCACACTGGGAGGAACATTTTCGGTCAAATTCCTCTGGGTCCCAAAGGGTTTAGAGTTCTGATTGGCTTTGCAGTTTTTGCCAGTAACATGCAAAATCCTGGTTGTGACAAAAGTAGATTACACATGTGCATGTACCTTTCAGAGTTCTGATGCGATATGTTAGCCTGTTGTTATTATCTACCTCTCGTCTCAATGGTCACCCAGCAAGAGGGAAATATAATGCTAAATGATATGTCTGTGGATGAAGTTTTGTTGAATAGCATCTTGGTTTCTAACCAGTACATGTAGACAATAGGGAAGCATGCTGGCATCACTCCAATCCAGATCAAGTGGTCCGGGTTCGAGCTCTGGCCAGGGTCATTGAGTTACGTTCATGGACAAGACGCTTTACTTTCATAGCACCTCTCTCCAGCCAGGTGTATAAATGGGTACCGGCATATTTAATGCT